CCGGGACCAGCACTGGGATCACAACCCTCGGTCTCGCGCCCGCACCTCGCTCAGCCAGTGAGCGGGAACCGGTCTGCGTGTGGGATCTGCACCCTCGGCGGGAGCGCCGCCGCGCTCCCAAGCGGCGCACTGTAGCAGTGCGCCACCGGGCCGGCCCTAAAAGAACATCTCTTGGTCAAGTGAATAATACATTTAACTACTATTTAGCAGAATATGCCAACTATCAAATAATTGCTTCTTAGTTCAAAATCTGCACTTCAGTAACTGCTCTGTGATAATGGAATCTTAGACCCTTTAAGCATTTTTCCATTACAGTGAGTATTATGATGCTAAGCTTTGTCAGAAGGTGATGGAGGAACAATGGAGGAGGAAGAGAGCGTCTCTTCCTGGTTCTGGTGAGCTTTTTTTTTTTTTTGCTCCTGCCACATGGTGGGTCAGTGATGCATATGTGTGGGGGTGGCTGGGGAGGTATCTGGAGGGGCTCTGTGTGGCCAGAGCATGTAATCCCTCAGTGACCCTGCAGCCCTAAACTGGTGACCATCTTACCCCAGCCTTCCTGACACAGATATAGCACTCCAGACCTTATATCTGCAGTGGCATCCTAACTTCCAGGGTTCTTTCCTGTGGCCCTCCTGAAGCAAATACCACATTCTCTGGGCCTTGCATCGCAGCAGCACCCCAACTCCTTCAGCATGCCTGCCCACCAGCCTTAGCTAATCAGTGTTCCTGAAGGTTGTTATTGTTTCCTGCTGGCCCAGCTCTGGCCTCTGCAACCCAGCCATCCAATGGGCTACAACCACACCTTATCCAGCAAAGTTTCAACTCCAACCTCGGGGAAGTGGCATTCCTCCCAAGTTTGTCCTTCCTTAGGTACTCTCCCTCAGCCCTAGTGTATCCTTCAGAATTCTCTTTACATTTATGGTTACTCTCCTATCACAGTTTAATACTTTATACTAAACTTCCCCTGTTTAAAATACTGTGTGGTTTCTGTCTCCTGACTGGTCCCCAACTGATAACATGATACTAATGTAAAAACCCCAAGAACTAAATCAGGCTGCTACTAAGTACTCTAAACCATTGGTCTTTGCACTAGGGTACCAGAAGACTTTCCACAGAATACATAAAAACCCAGCTTTAGGGGCATCGATCTCTCAATTTTTAATGTCTAAAAGTGATACATCTGAGAAGTGTTCTGAACGCTCTTACAGGTTTCTCCATTCCCAAAATTCTTTCTGAATAGCCCCTATCCATCCTGAATTTTACTTTGGCCCAATGAATCAAATCACTTATCTTGCTAAGCCCTCTTCAGTGATTAATGAAATCACTGAAAACCTGTATTGGACTTGTCTTTCCCCATCTTATACGAAGTTCCACTAAGAGAGAAGAGTAGCTTTAGAAATAGGGTATTTGGGGACCCGGCTGATTAGCTCAGTTGGTTAGAGCATGGTGCTAATAACACCAAGGCCTAGGGTTGGATCTCTGTACTGGCCAGCCACCAAAAAGAAAAACCCAAGAAGAAGCAAATAAAATAAATAGGGTTTTGGGGCTCATATTAGAATATTCTGATTTCAGATATCTTGTGGAATGGGCTGTCTGAGTGACTTTGCCTCATTCACCCTGATTATCATCACATAATGCCTCTTTTAGAAAGAGACCTTAAGAATGAGAACCTCAAAAACTAAAAATAGCTTGTTCATGTATTTAATTGTACAAAAATTTTTTTTCAAGCTATTCTAAATTTTCATTAACAGTATGCCACTACTTAGAAGGAACAGTTCCACTTGCTAGTTGATTTAAAAATATGTATATACCTGAAATGTTTACTGGAACTATCAAATATTTGAAGATGAAATGTATAAAACCCACAGATAAAAATTTAAGTAATTTCTTTCAGTTAAAGTATAAACTTTTATCAAATCATATAATAAAATATTTAATTCAATTAGTCAATCCTTATTTCATTTTATAAAATGTTGTAACTCCTATCCTTGTTCACAAAAACAAAAATTATACAATAACCTGACATACTAATTGGTTTGTCGCAATGTACTTTTTTTTTTTGTCCTTTTTGAGACCGGCTGCACCGCGCTCAGCCAGTGAGCATACCGGCCATCCCTATGTAGGATCTGAAACCTGCGGCAGGAGCGCTACTGCGCTCCCAGCGCCGCACTCTCCCGAGTGCGCCACGGGCTCGTCCCGTCGCGATATATTTTGATCCTATATTAAATATGGGAGCAATCATGAAATTTATATAAATTAATGGATTTATTTCGATTTTTTACATGATTCTTGATTGTTCTTAAGAGTCTAATAACAGAGTTTGATTAATGTAGCATACACATATATGGAAGCAATGTCACGTTTTCTATCATACTCCTCATCTTCATAATTTCTCAGTTTAGTTATATTATACTGCTCTATAATAAACTCAGTAGTGAGAAATAGCATTATCATGTTGTTTTAATAAAGTATTATTAAAGTGGGTAAATTAATTATATTACTTATACATGATTTTAATTTTGACTTTATGGCTTTTAGAAATCTACCTCACAAGATGTGTTCCATAATTTCTCAATGCTTTGTATCATTTTCCTAGAAGTACAAATTAACATTTACTTGAACTGGAAAACAGAAAAATTAGGAAGTAAGAATAATTTGGTTTAGGGCCAGCCTGTGGCTCACTTGAGAGAGTGTGGTGCTGATAACACACCATAGGCCATGGGTTCGGATCTCTATATAGGGATGGCTGGTTAGATCACTTGGAGAGCACAGTGCTGACAACACCAAGTCAAGGGTTAAGATCCCCTTAGTGGTCATCTTTGAAAAAAAATATAATAATAATAATTTGGCTGATGGGCTTAAATAATAAATTGCCCTTGCCAATTAAATTATATGTCAAGAATTTTCCATAAATTGAATGTACTAAATTTGCACCTTTAAGATTTTTTTGACAAGGTACTCTGAAGTAATAAAAGCATTTTATCAAAAGATATCATAGGTTTAGACAAAGGTTTATTAAAAGTCTTATTTTTCTCAGCCTTCTTTCAGTATATTGGATTAAATAAGGTGCCTTTAAGTGAAAGAATAGCATACATTATTAGGTGTTTGACACTAACTGGACCTTTTTGGTGTCTTTCCCAGATACTGAGACAATAACTGCCTCCAATGCCTGGGTAACAGAACCTTTGCGAGTCAGTGCTTTCTAATCCTTTGCTTTCATTAAATATGATGATGATAAGCCACTGTGTGATTTTTTGGCATAAAACTTCAAAGAAGTTGGAAGAATTGAATGACTTTCCTATATTAAAACTTTCTGGGCCGGCCCGTGGCTCACTTGGGAGAGTGCGGTGCTGATAGCACCAAGGCCGCGGGTTCGGATCCCATATAGGGATGGCCGGTTGGCTCACTGGGTGAGGGGGGTGCTGACAACACCAAGTCAAGGGTTAAAATCCCCTTTCCGGTCATTTTTTTTTTTTTTTTTTTTTTTTTGTCTTTTGTCCGTGTCCGGCAACGGATCGCAACCCTCAGTGTTGCCCCCGCACCGGACCGGCAACGGGATTGCAAGCCTCGGCGTTGCTCCCACGCCTCGCTCAGCCAGTGAGCGGGAGCCGGTCTGTATGTGGGATCCGAACCCTCGGACGGGAGCGCCGCTGCGCTTCCCAAGCGGCGCACTATCCAGTGCGCCAACCGGTCATCTTTTAAAAAAAAAAAAAACAAAAAAAAAAACTTTCTACCCCAACTACTTATTTACATAAGCAAGGTTTTTCAAACTTACAAATGCAAGACAGAATACAACTGATACTGAATCCTATTTCATTCTAGTATTAAATACTATTCAGTCTAGGATATCTAAAATATTTTTTAAAGATTTCTCCTGAAAAGACATATAATAGGGTGATCAATAAAATAACTGTAAGATAAAAATATATTAAGATAAAAATTATGTGAAAAAAGTGGAATGTCAATCATGACCCCCATAATTAATGATTAACTACTGCATTTGTGTTGTGTGAAGCACTTTAATAGATACAGTATAAATTTTTTCTCAGACTGTACAGCAATCCTATGTGTTGGGGATTCTTATTCATATTTTACAGATAAGTTTCTAAAGCTCAGGAAAGTTAAATAACTGTTAGATTTTCATTTGCTGATGAGAAACGAAGAAGTGAAATCCATCACAAGAAAATATGAGTGTAAGTCTGGAGAGCTTTCAACGAAAATTCAACTTGGGGCTGGCCAGTTAGCTCACTTGGTTAAAGCACGGTGCTGGTAACACCAAGGTCAAGAGTTTGGATCCCCTTACTGGCCCGCCACACACACACAAAAAATTCAATTCATAACATTTAGATCTTTTCCTAGCTTAGTATGTAGACTGTTAGGAGCTTGTGCTCTGGGGTTGGGTAAAACCTGTCACAGACAGAAACCATGTGTGCCAAGACTAACACTAGGACCTAAAACAGGTTTTTAAACCACTGAGCCTCAACATCCATATCTAAACACGGGGACGACAACAGTATTCACCTCCCAGCATTGCTGGAGAACGAACTGAGATCCTGTACACAAAGTACATAATATGTAGCACAGCATCTGGCATAGTAAGCTCAATAAAAAGTATTAAAAATGCATTAAAATATCCTTGCACATAAATATCTAGCCACATTACCAATTAATCTTTAGGATAAATTCCTAGATGTATTATAAATGGCTCAGAGTATATGACCATTTAAAGGGTAATCATATTCTGCCAAACCATTTGCCAAAAAAGTGAACCTAGTTTGTATTAGAGAAGGAGCTCACCTTTTGGGTCGAGGAAGGCCCATAGGGGTAAGGTTAGGATCTGGCTTAGGAATGGTTTTTCGGATACGAATCTGTGAGACTTTCTTTGGCCTCTTCTCCAGCTCAGCCTATTTTTAAGGGTTAAGAAGAAAGATGGTCAAATTGCAAGATATTTTAAATATATAAAGTCTCTTTTCTTGACATTCAAGACATCGCTTCTTCAGTTTATAGATGATTCTAACAAGTAGTTTATGACAAAGCTCCCCCTCATGCTGTGTTTTCAGCAACTGCCTTCTCCATATTACTAGAATAGAATTGCACATTCAATTCTGATATTGAGATTATCAATATGAAAGTCTGCAACTATGGGAGACAGCAGATGCTGCAGAATCAAAGAACACCATCATTCACTCATCTTCTTCAAAGGCACAAAGCAGCTCCTTGGTCCAATTCCCTAAATACTGTTAAATGCTGTCACTAAGAAAAAAAGATTTGGAAAACAACGCAGTTTAAGAATTCCAGTGTATTTCTTTACCGGCCAAGCAAAACTCCTGGCTTACTACTCTCCAGTACTTAGCTGAAGCTAAAGGTGGTAAGTAAAGACGCTCAGGGGTCAGTCTATACCTATCATGTGATGTGAGTTGAAAATGGACATCTCCAATGCCACTAGTACCTGACCCCAACAGCATTTGACATTTACCTCTTTCTGTTCCTGGGGGCTGCTCTGTGGTCGGGGACAAGCTGCTGTCACACCATCCAGCTCATCAAATCCAGGGACTTGGAACTCAGAGGCTGAAAACAGGAGCTTGCTGACAGCTGATTCTGTTACCAAGCAAGACTTTGGTACCAACGCAGGGAATGGAGGCTCTAACCTAGCATCATGGAGAGAAAGAAGAAAAATATGAGAGGGTTCACTTTCTACCTCTGGCACATTCAACTTAACATCCAGACTAAGCTGAAGACTTTCCTTCTTTCCAGGAATGACATCTCCAATCAACCTGTTTTTTAGTCATTTCCAGGCATAACCTTTATCTACAAGTGTTAAAAATTACAAGGATGTGGTCAATCCACCTTATTGTTGTGGAGCAGCTTCATAAAGAAAATGTAAAAAGAAATAGACTTTTCAAGGGGAAGAAGATATTTGGTGAACTGAACAAATGAATAATGCTCAGATGAGATCAATCCTATCCAGGGACTGAAGTTGACTAAATGACAAGACATAAAATAGCCTAAGATAATAAGCTGGCTAGTGATTTTCACTTTTTAAAAAAAAGACAAATGGAATTGATCACACATTCCTAGTCACTACTCGTAATAGAATATATCTGAGTTGCAGAGATGTTTATCTGAGAAATGTAGATAAGGTTTAAAAGGACAAGAGTTCAGGGTTGTGCCATGCCTGACCTATGCCATGTGTGCACACACACACATACATGCTCTCTTTTTCACACACATATACATCTCAAGCCCTCATGTGCCAGGCCCACTGGAGGCTTACCTCATCTGACTGACATTGGTGTTATAAGTAGCTTCCATGCCTGGAAGAGGCACATATGGTAACATAGTGTGGCTGAAGTGAAGCAAATGTACAAAAGCAACAGGTTAGGGCAGTGAGACAACAGGAAAGGTTTGGAAGGCATTGCTGGTATTAGCACATGATATTCTATTAGGAAGACAAGAAATGTCACCCAGAAAGATAAAAATTTCCCAGCCACAAGAATTACACTTATGTGCCCAACACTGGAATGGAGGCAGGCTGACAAGATTATTTTCTAACTTACATGGAAAGAGGGTTGAGAAATAAAGAGGAGAATAAGAGGAAGGAGAGGAAGAATGACGTTGAGGCTTACACCTTCGAATCAAGTTACTGAACATGTATACTAAAGATTTTAAAAATAATTTAAAGATAACAATCTTGTCGGATCTAAACCAGGGTCAGGCCTGGTTACTACCTGGATGGGAGACTGCCTGGGAATATTGGGTGCTGAAGGCTTAAAAACTAACTAAATAATTATTTAAAGATAAAAATATATTAATTGTACCACTCAGCTCTGTATTAAGTCTATTAAAAAAAAAGCTGCTATGGGCCGGCCCGGTGGCGCACTGGATAGTGCGCCGCTTGGGAAGCGCGGCAGCGCTCCCGCCCGAGGGTTCGGATCCCACATACAGACCGGCTCCCGCTCACTGGCTGAGCGAGGTGCGGGAGCAACACCGAGGTTTGCAATCCCGTTGCCGGTCCCTCGTCCGGTACGGGGGCAACACTGAGGGTTGCAATCCGTTGCCGGACACAGAAAAAAAAGACAAAAGACAAAAAAAAAAAAAAAAAAAAAAAAAAAATGCTATTTTTTCTATGACCTTACAAAAAATTAGGAA